AAGCAACGAAAGAAACGCGCTTTTTTAGTTGACTGGGGATGACGACACCGCTTTGCGGTCGTGTATAGCAAATGGCAGAGCAATTCGTGTGACGTTCACCATCCATCCCAAAGGACGCTTTCATCTTGGTTTCCTCATGGGATTGCTGAAAATGAAGGTGTGTTTGCATGCTCTCCCTCTGATTTTTCTTTCATTACATAGCTAGAACCCTTCAGTCATTAATCGAAAGAGGGATTAACATCGAAGGAATCGTTCTAATTTCCGACATGGAAGCCTTCCTGGATAACGAGAAGGTAGCTGCACTCGTTTTACTCGTTATTCTTACAAAATTTGCTTCTTAATCTTGTGCGCATTATAGGTGTCTTGGAACGCTCGAGACGGTCGGAGTGAGTACTTCTATCAGATTTGCTCATTCTTTATCGAGCGCCTTGGTTTGAAAAATAGCGTCAGGGCTGTGAAATCCGCTGACAGCGACTCCATTTTTTCAAAGTGAGCAGTTATACGTGAAAAGAAGCGTTTATCTCTTCAACATCTGCAAATTCTTCAGAGATTATGTGCTAAATATGTACAAAATGGCCTCAGCCGTTACTCGCGATGAGACGACCGTTTGTGAAGGTGTGATTTATTAGTGTTCATTTATAGTTGTAGGTGTTTATTTATCCATGTAGTTTGATAATTGGTTTTTATGGAAAATTTTAAAACTCGACATTGTTAGGAACGTCTTTGTCTGGCAATTTGGTTCCGCTATTTTACGCTCTCAATCATCAGTTGCTCGGAACTGACCTCGCTATTATGGGTGAAGATTCAATCAAGATTGCTAATCTTGCGGTTAAGGTATTTCATCGTTAATATTTTCAATCGTTCTTCTCCTGTCTCAAAAAAGAAAATGTTCTTAGTTGTGGTCCCGAATGAGGGTGCAACCTCCAACACAAGTAGCATTTTCGCTGCTACCGGGATGTGATGGAAAGAAAATGTCATGTTCAAATCCCGACTTCCTTTTGGAGGCATTTGACACACCAAAGCAAGTGAAAGTCAAGGTGGCACGGTGAGTTTCAGTAGTGTTTACATCCTATTTTCCGCAATTTGAACACTGTTTAGGTCCTTCTGTGAGCCGCAGAACTTGAATGGAAATGTTGCCATGATGCTATCCCAACAGTTCATTTTCCCGCTCCTTGGTGGATCAAGTTTGTTTATCAAATACTTTTGTCTCTTTTCCTTTATTTCCTTCTTCTGCTTGGCTCCCACTGTAGGGAACATTCCATGGCACTTATTTTTGAAACATTCTCCCCAAGGTGCAGCGTAGATGCTGGAATTTTAGAGCCGTACAGAGATTATGCAATTCCTACTTTTTTTCTAATATATAGCAAAACTCGTTAATGTTTCTCAGCGACTGATGCTAAGCAATTTTTTCACATTCATAAATTTCAAGTTGAAAGATGGCACACGTGCGCACATAAGTCGCGCGATCTTCATGTATATGTTTAGGTAAAACATGGCATTACTGTTTCACTTGGACTGCTGCTCTTTGTTAGTGCAAAAATTCCGCATCTCATGTTCTCCCGGCATTTTCATATT